TTTCTGTACTTCAGTGAACTCTCCTGCCCAGTATTAGAAACCTCATTTCCCAGTGTGACCAAACTGCAGCATGGCACAGACAGGATATTGCTAATAACCTGACCAGATCCAGTAGTTTTATTGGACTGGACCTGGAGCAAATCTGAGCAAGCCCCTGCCCTCCGAGCAGAGCCCAGAGGGCAAGTGTAATGATCCGAGGAGCGACCAGGGGCTAAACAGCAGTATAACGAAATCCTTCAGACTTTGATAGTTTCATTTAAGTCAGACCAGTCTCTTAAAAGCCTCTGGGGTTTTTTGTGGGGGGTGTTTTTCTCTTCAGGCTACATAACTGACTAGTACGTAACCAGATGAACAACATGAAACATGAATTTGATTTGTGCTTTTTGTTTCCCACCCAATGAAGACTAGTTTTTAAATGTTTTATCCAAATCACATACATGTTTATTGATGAATACATGTAGTTTACATATTAAGTATTTTAATGCTGAAGATAAATCAGTCTCAGAATGACCTAAATTTCAAATATAGAAGCAGCCTCATTTTTTATCTTTCATTTGACTGACATCTAGTGGTAATGTTTAGTCTTGCTTCCTCTGCTTGGCTATAAAGCAGCCTCTCCAGTCAGATATGGAAAGAGCTGATTTTTGTTAAAAAAAGTGAAATCCATCGTGCTCAGTAATGTAATTACTGAGGTCCAAGGGTTTAAACTAGGCTACTAGCACTGCCCATTATTAAGATTTATCTTCACAAGCTGTTTGTGAACTCAGAATAAACTGATCAAAAAGATTTACATAAACGTTTTTTTTACAGCATCTTGGAAAGAAAAAAACAACAAATCAAACAAGTAGAAAACAACTTGCTGAGCAACGCAAATCTCTCTCCCTGATTGTCACAAAGCAATTTCTCATCTAACAAAGCTACCCAGGCTTTATGTACATGGAAAGCACCTGGGAAATCTAGAGAATAAGCCTTTCTGCCTGCACCTTTTACTGTTAAAATGACATGAGGGTGTCCCTCTAATTCAGTTTATGTTAATCTGCATCATATACTGAGTAAGGAATATGTGTGGGGCCAGCTCTCAGACCTCACGTAAGGCTTGGAAAGTCCTAGATGCAGATCACCAGTGTGACTTGGTTACACAGGGCTGGGGGGAGCAGCATATAACAAGTTTCTTAGGTTCTGCAGCCTCTGCTTTCCATAGAGCATCTCTCTGCAAAGGCTTCAACTGCTTCAGTGAGGAGGGGGCTTGGCAGATGGGAGTCTGCCCAGCAGATACTGGCCCAAAGCACTTCATGCTCAGAGATGGCCCCATAGCTCCTGCAGCATTGACCATGGGGTAGCTTTAATGTGATTCTCTGTTCTCAATAGAGGACTCTGCCCCTTGCCCCTGGCTGGTTAGGAATCCCCTGCAGTTGGCCTTGCATGGGGCAAGGATCCACCCTGAGAGCACTGTTCAGCTAAAGGATGCCCCTGTCTCCAGTGCTGCACCAGGCTTCTGCAGCAGCAGAGGCTGCTCCGTCTTAGCATAACCACAACTTGGCAAGCGCTAGGCCAGTGCTTCGTACCTGACAGGCCTTTCAGGCAGAGCAGCAATCACTACTGATGCTTACAAACACTGGATATGCCACAGGTTGCTGTTTCATACAACTCTGTGCATTTCTTTTTAGAAAGTTGATGTCATTTTAAAAGCTTTGGAGGTTGCAATGTGCTGTAGTATTAGTGCTACAGGGCATCCTGCAGCTAGAAGCAAAATTAGCTGCTGTCAGCCTATACAAAATCTTCCCTCTCCAGTCTCCACTGAAGACCGTTTTTGGACATTTGTAGTATCTTGCATTGTCTGCAGTCACTCCATGGTGAAGTCCCCTGGACAGCACGAATGAAGCATTTAGGATATAGAAACCCACCGGGTGGATTGGAAGAGATAATTTTGCTTTCATCTGCAAATTATAGGGGTAAATGTTTGCTGTACATTAAGGCAGCACTAGCAGATCTCATCCTACTGAAGGTAATGAGTTTTGCTCTTGACTTTAAGCATAGCAGGATCTAGGACCTTTATTAATAGGGATCATAAGGAGAGCTTTTCCAAGGCAAAAAGCTATAGGGAATTTTCTATCTAAGGCAATAGTTAACTTCATGAATTAGAAGGGAATAAAAGACATTTTTATTGTTGGTTAAATTCCTGTTTCTTGGCCTATTCATTTATTTGACTTTATACAAGTTTTAAACAATATAATTATAGGGAAAATAAAGCATATGGTATAGGCCTTAACAGTCATCAAGCACAAGACAAATAATATAAAACTAGCGTGGCTGACAAGTTACTCTAGGTTCCTTGAGTGTCATGTAAGTTTGCATCTACCATGAAGAGTACCTACATTTCAAGCTTTCATCTGTGGATTGTATATGCTCCCAGGAGACTTTTCTAACTGGATCCAGTAATTATAATACAGGAAGGCAGTGACTAGGGGTTACAGACATCATTCTGAAATAGCTGTATGCCTGGAGACATTAATGAAAAGCACCCCATAGTTTTGAGTACATTACCTTGCTCATGTTATTAGAGCTGGAATTAAGTGTGCGCTAAGTTGACTCACATAGGTAAAACATCCTCCCAGGGCTCATTCTTCTGTCTATCTTCAGTTCAGCACGACCCTGAACATGCCAGACAGACTCAGGATGGGGACCTGAACACACGGCTCAAATCAACCCAAGTATCCATATACAGGAAAACATGATTCACCATCCTCCTCCTCCTCCCCACCCCCTTAGTGTCATAAAGTTTCTGGCTGCAAGACACCATTAGATCACCTAGTCTAACTTTCTGCATACCACAGGCCCTCACATTTAACCCGTCACCTAGTATTGAGACCAGTAATTTGCTTGGCAAAAGGCATCTTCCAAAAAGGCATCCATTTGTGATCTGAAGACATCAAGAGATGAGCGAATCCACCACTTCCCTTGGAAACTTGTCCCCGTGGGTAAGCAGCAGTGCTGTGATCAATATTACCTTATTTCCTAATTGATTTTGTTTGGCTTCAACTTCCAGTGATTGGTTCTGTGACCTGCCCTTCCCTGTTAGGACCCAGTATTTCATCCCTGTGAAGGTACTTTCACAGCATAATCAAGTCCCTTCTCAATCTCTTTTTTTAAGGTGAATAGATTGAACTCTTAAACCTCACTGTTAGGCATTTTCTCCAGCTCTTGCATCGTTGTGGGGTTTTTTTTTCTATGTTCTTTAATTATTCATCATCAATTTCAAATAGTGGGCACCAGAAATACATACAGTATTTTAGGACTGGTCTTGCCAGTGCCACATGAAGAGTTAAAAATCTCCTCCCTTCTCGTCCCGTGAAAAAATAACATGATGTGTTGGGAAGAGGTCAAAGGGGTGACAATGCTACCAGTGCCCTCAACATTTTTCTTTCAGAGTTATCTCTTCTCAGCTAGTTCTGCAGCTCCTTTTGAGAGGCTGACCTCTTCCCTTCCCTCCACCTCTGCGTGGCCCATTGCAATGCCACTAGTCATATCCAGGCATGGACCCACAGCTGCTCTCCCAGGCCAGCTCTGCTTTGCTGTTTCTGCCATCACTCTTCAGTTTCTCCCATTTGCCCTACTTCTACGCTGTTGGTCTTTCCTCCCTTGCCTCTTTCCATCAACACATCACCTACAAAAATCACTGTGTCCTACTAGTGCAGGGTTTGTGAATGGTTGGTTCATTAGGCCATGCCTAAGCTACATCTTCCAAGGAGAACACCTGTTAAGGTGGATGTGGCTGGCTTTTCCAGCATTGATGGGAATCCCAAAATGAATGGCCTTTGCTGGATGCAGGAAATATTACCAAAATCATGTACCAGTACATCTGAGTTTTGTCTGTCCACTGCCCAGTATCACCAGCCTCCGTTGTGAAGTCCTCTCCCATCCCGTTAGGAGAAACTAGCCTCTCGTGATGTTCGCACCTCAACAGAAGCTGATGGAGCTGACTGAAGCACTACAAATGGAAATACTAGGCCGTTATCTCAGCTCACAGAGGCTGGTTTTGAGTGTTTGGGCTGCATGGGGTGAGTCTGAGACCACATTTATTTGCAGCAAAGAGACAGAGAAAAGGAGGAGGAAGGGAAGAATCAGGAGAGCGCAGAAGAAATTGTACCACATTGACAAAACAAACCTTATCCAAGGGACTGAATACTGTATTTCATATTGTCATCTAGTCCCAACTCTTGGGAACCCCAGGTTGCAATTTTAAGTGTCCTGTGGCTCAAGGAAGAAACTTCTGGCTGGGCTCTCACTATGCCTGAGCTTGTAAACCAAATAGCATGAACGGTCTTTTTGAAAGGCAAGCTGTTGGCAGGTCAAGTCCTCCTAATCCTGCGGTTCCTGAAGTAAACAGAGAAGGAAACCCCAGCAAGACTTGCATATCCTCAGCCCCCAGCCCCAGGAAGGTAAATAGACATTTCTGTCCAAGAGAGAAGCATTGTTGACAGTCACTGAAACATCCACAGGTACTTGGAGGAATTGTATTTCGTCACAGTCTCGCTGTTTCCATCCTGGTGGGAGCAAGTAGCAGCAAATGGTGTGGGCCTTGCCCTCTCTGCAAACTGAGAGTCCTTCTTTGATTCTGCCAGGTGCAAAGGCCGCAGCTTCTCCCACTTCTAGGGTTGCATCCTTTTTTTCTTTTTTGCCTTCAGCCAGAGTTTTTCACCCTTTCAGGAGGCATGTGCAATGGGAAAGCAGAGCTGAAAGCCACATTAAGCACAGGGATTTCCCTCCTCCATGCTGTAAGGCACACTAGGCAATGCATTGTCTCAGCTCAGTTAGTCCACGTCCACACAGTAGCGTTAGCAGCAAATTACTTGCATTCCCAGCCACTGCAGTTTTTGTCTTTACCATCAGCTCCTGAAGTTATCATGCATCTCCTATAGGTCTGACAAACTTCGGAGCATTTTAAAGGTCCATACATGACAGCATTCAGTACAAAAACGATCAATATATTACTGTTGAAGTTTGTTTTTTTTACAAAAAATTAAAAAAGAACAAAATATATCACATTATTATTTACACACTTTATGCTTCATGCTTAGCGATCACTGAAAAAGAACACACAGACAGACAATATTTTAGTCATACAGTAGGAAATGCAGCTTTACATTCAGTGCCAAGCAATTACTTGTTAATACTGTACAGGCTGCGCCCCCCCTTGACTTTTTTATATTAAAGTAGAGCCAGATGACTCGTTGAATTAAAAACTGGTACTTGAAGGCTGTTACCCAACTTTAACTGAGTGTGTAACCAGCTAGTGATACAATCTTACCTTGATTTGTGTTCAATTTAAAACGGGCTTAGTAACCTCACTTAGCTGCTTGAGCATTAGTTTGTCATGTGTGTTCCAGCCTCCAATTAGATGTACAGCATTGTTTTACAGGTGTAACCATCCTCTTAGCTGGTCCAAGCATTTGGCTTCATACCTGTCTCATACGTTAGCAAGCATTGCTGGAAATGCATGTATTGACTCAGTGGAGGCATGTCATGTAGCACTATGTCCTCTCCCACTGAGAGGCACTGGGATACCAGACTACAATGTCCCAAATGCACTGATACAGACCCAGTTAAGCAACACTGGGAGGGGAGGGGAGGGGAGGGGAGGGTGGATGCAAAAATCTGATGGTAGAAAAGCGGCTGTGTGAAGCTGAATTATTTGTAACTCTTTGAGGGGACCAGTTAGCCTGTAGGTGTCACCCTGCCCTACCTTCTGCCTTTAAGGGGACCAAAAACCCAACAGCTGCAAAGCTAGCTAAAGGTATAGTGTAGGCAAAGCCTGAAAATAAACCACTGTAAAGCAAGAATGAAAATTAAGTTCAAACCCATTTTTCCTTGCTAAACACTTGGACTAATCAGGTGCCAGGGGATGTCTAGTAGTACAGCACTAAGCTGCTGTCCTTCCTGGTACACTAAAATAAACTAACTTCACAAATACCAGGTCAGTCTTGAAACCTGACATTTGGGCTCTCAGAGTGAAGGTTTTTCAAGTACTTCGTGGGTCACAGATGATATTGGAGGATTTTTCAATCGGGAAAAATAATTGCAATACTATTTATTTGTAATTTATTTCTAGGCTGAATGGCCTCACAGTTTGGTGTAGAAGAATACAGTCCAGAAATTCAACCTCAAAGTAGTTCTTGCTTTTACAGACTGCCTTCAGCATGTGTCTCCATTTTATTGCATTTCCGAACTAGAACACACACACACCCTTACTAACCCCCATTTTTAAAACCTGACCTCCATGTTTAATAAGTGCATTTATTTGAGCATGTAATTTAGGACGGTTGAATGTAGGGAATCGTCACTGTATATACATATCAGGTATAACAAGATCAGTGACTCAGGGCCTAAGTCAGCAGAGCTCTGCACAAGTACCTTGGTCACACGAGTGACCCTTTTGACCTAAAAGGGGACTACTCATGCAAATAAACTAAAGTAACCTGATTATTGGTGCTACTCATTTCCAAAATCAGAGGTTTAATTACAGCTGGCCTGAATCCTCCCTGCCCCTCCCTTCTATAGACAAGATTTATGGGAAGGGTACTTCACAGCAATGGAGTATTTTGCACTTCCAAGGAAGTATCTTGTTCTACCACTGTTAGAGGCAGTAGCCCAGTATCACTGCTCTTATCTAGTATGGCACTTTCTATGTAAGATATGTTCTGTGTTGCATAGTCCACAAATACAAGCAACCCACTTAAAATGCAATCACATTCAAGCCATTCAGTAATCCAGGATATTTACTGTACCTTGTGCCAGCATCCTGGTACTGGCAATCCGTCTGGTCCCTGAAAAATTAAGTCACAAGTTTAATTCTGTTGGCAAATTACACTGGAAAAAAAATCCAACTCATTCATTATGAAGGTGCAAGATTCAGCTACACAGCCTACCAAGACAAACTCTAACGACATGCAGAAACACAGATTGTAACTGCACACACATTATAACTGCACAAACATAAACATAAGTATGATAATTAGTGTATCAGGAGTAATCTCATTCTAATTTGCATTAGCACCAAAAAAAGTTACATGACACTTCTCTTGTACATTCAGAAAAAAATTGTAAAAACATACACCACATCTGGAATCCCAGTGAATTCATTTCACAACCTGACTTAAAAGGTTGTGATTTTTGCAATCAGAAGCATATGTGGAGGGAAGGACATGGGAAATGCCTTTTGGTAGCATGCCAATTTCAGCTGTTTTTCCCCCAGTGATCTCTGTCTCTGAACTGGATCCTTAAGTACCCAGTCCTATTGAGAAATTCTGACCTGCCCCACTGACTCCAATGGGAAGACTCATGGAGTAACCAACTATTCAGTGGGAGTAAGTGAGGAAAGACTAGCTAACCACAGACAGAGGCATCATAGACCTGTAGCAATCGGGAAGTTGGTACAACTTTGCTACCACAAGGGAAAATGCAAGGACCCCTAGAGAAAGGAAAGGATCTCACTAAATATGAGCCAACTCTCCAATTCAAAGATGTCTTGGGAGGAACAGGCAATAAAGCCACCAACATTCAGCTTCTGAAGAGCGTTATGTCCATTTCTGCATGTGCCTTCTGTGCATAAAACAATGGTGAGGACACAGTGCTTCCACAGAACTAGTAAGAATTATCTATTATATGTGCAGCCAGGGTAACTCTTGGGCTGCCAGTATCTCTTCATTAAAATATGCAGCCTACATCCTCATTATTGGCAACAGTAACACAGTCACCTATGTTTAGGTGGTCTCTTGCCTCACAGAATCACAAGGCACTTTCTACACCCAATTTGCAAACTCTACAAAGGGATCATGCTATCCAGTTCTGGACTGAAATCTATTCAACAGAACACAGCAACATGCTTCAGCAGCCTAGGCCAAGAAATAAAGTGACACCACTCAAAGGAAGGGTCTGCAAACCATTAAAGTCCACTTCCATACTTTGTAATTAGGAAACATAAATACTGCATCGACAAGTAACATTTTGCTGAGGTATGAGCTCACATGCATCAGATTTACTACTCCACAGTATTTACCCATGTTGAAGCATTCCCAATAATTACAATGACAAACACTTTGGTAAATATAACATTTGTGAAAAGCAAGCGTCAAGAGTTTATTGGAGCTTGCTATATACATCTGATTTCTTGGATACAAGTGAAACCTATTTAGCTCTGGGAAAGATAAGTTTGTTGTGCCCTTTGGCTGCTTTACATGACTACAGATGGTCTACACGTGCTTCAGTTTCTGATACATCCTTCCCGATGAACTCTTCCGGTTGGTCATGCAAACAGTCACTTCCCACAGCAGAGCCAAGCACAGGCCTCTTCAGATAATCTTTGGACTTCAACTTGCTGACTTGCCAACTATAACAGAGGACAAGCTACACATCTAACCTGCCTTTCCTTCTCTCCTTAGGGGGAATGGATGGATGCATGTGTTCAGAATGAAAAGGGCTTCGCAGCTGCAGACACGTGCACAAGGGCATGCAAGATGGAAAAGGAGCAGAGATACTATACCAAAGGGCAAGGCAGGCTCACGCCCTCCAGGCCTGGGAAGCCTGACTCCCCTTTGTCGCCTTTAATATTACGGTCTCCCTGTTTAAAAAGTAACTGTTTGTTGAGAACGATAGGGACACAGAAATGTTACCTGGACAGATAGAGCGATTTCATCAGGAAGGGAAAAAACATGGTTTCACATTATTTGACATCTGTTTCTAAAGAGTAGGCCTCAGAGTCATTTCCCAGCAGCAAATTCGGCACAAAGAATGTCATCAAATAAGCGTATAACGTGAGAAAGACTAGCCAGAAATTCATCTTGGTAACGGTGAAATTAAAAACATGAGTAAGATGACTTAGGGCACTGAAGATATGGACACATGGACAACCTGCAATGGGTTAGAAGAAGGCAGGGCTTTATCATGCCTTAGCTGCTCCGGATACCTCCAAATGTGATCATCCTTACCCTGTGGTAGGTGAAAGCTAAACTAAGCCCACAATGAAAGAAGTTAGGTACTGTGGGTTAGCTTCTACTTATCACGGGGTAAGAGCATACATGTGGGCAGTTACAACAGAACAGCTGAGGCATGATAAAATCCTGCTCCTTCCACCGTACCAGCAAATGGTTCCCATGTCCATCCCTAAGAGAAGAAAGGTGATCCACCAGAAGCCAACATTAGCTTGTCCTTATACCAGGGAAGAAATTTCACTCAATATGCAATCTTTTTCCCCTCAGTATCATGTCATCCCAACACATTCAGGATCTGGAGGGATGTATGCAGAGGCTAGAAGACTTAACACCTTTTTAAAAGACTGAGCTACGTATTGTGAAAGTTCATTGTTCTGACGGGTCATTAAGGGGAGCAATATATCACAGCTTTGATCTCAGCAGGGCAAAAGAAAAGAAAGGAAAAAAAAGTGAAAAAAAATCAATGGAAACCTGCTCCCATCTAGTGAAAGATAAGAGGACTCTCAAGCATCACCCTCCGCTGGCTGTGCTGCCTCTGGAAGTAATGGTACTCTGGGAACCATTACACATAAGGTAAAGCTGTTTAAACATTTCAGTTCGAAGTATTTCCCATCTGCGAGATGAACACATACCACTGGGCACGGCTGATCCAGTCCAGGAGGGCCTGGCTCTCCTTTTTGTCCCTTGGCTCCCTTTCTCCCTGGTATTCCTCTTTCTCCCTGTGGACACAAAAGAGTTGAAGGTGGCTTCAAGCAATGGGCCTCAAGGGCAACGGTTCGATTTAAACAAAGGCAACACCCCAAATTAAAGCTGGTCAGAAAAATTCTGCTGGAACATTTTCTTGTCAGAAAAGGCTGGCTCTCATTCACTTGTCAGCAGCTGGACAGGCATCTGTCAAAAAGATCTGCCTGCTTTGCTGCCAGTTCATACCCACCCAACTGGCAGTGCCTGGTGGGCCGCCAGAAAGCTGGGGACCCAGAACTGCCAAGCTCCCAGCTACCTCTGAATTGGGAGGTTGGAAACCACAGGGGTTGCAGCTTCCAAGGGATGAAGCTCTGTGCTCAGCCAGGGCTCCCAGGTATTCCTACATTCCCAGCTCCCTGTCTGGTGCAATTTAATTTCTAATCAATAATCCTGAAGAATTTCCTTTTTTTAAATGACTCTATTCCTGCTCCCCTTAGTTAGTGGAATGCCTAAGGCCTTAGTCAGGTGCGAGGTAGAAGGGGCATGGATTCTGAACCAACCACTGTCCTTACCCATGTTACAAGTGCTAGTAAGTATTAATAAGTTTGAAAGGGTTCTTAACATCTACAGCACCCGAGTCACTGACTCAGATTTTCACTGGGGTCTTGCTTGAGCACGACAGCAATGGCATCAAAACTTAAAAGAGATTTTGAGAGTAAACTTTGGGCAAAGTTAGGTAGAACTTCTTGGTTTCGTTACTCAGGCTGCACAGACAGGATCGGGCCCTTTGTAACCAAAAAAGATGTGACATGTTCTCACCTTCTCTCCCCTTTCACTTTTTTCTCCTTTTTCTCCTCTTAGACCTGGGAAACCCTACCAAGACAGTTTGAAATGGGGAAAAGATTTGTAAGTTTAATTCCAACAACTCCAATTACACACAGCCTTGCTCACAAGATCAGTTAGGACCCCCCATTTATTTTAAATGCCAGCATCAGTGGCTATGAATGTGAATTTTTCCCGTTGTTCATTTTTGCACATTACGGACTTCTTTGCAGAAAGGTGAGGGTTTAGTATACCATGATGGTATCTTCTGTCTTAGGAATTTTGATTTTATTTGGTCTGATATAGATATACTTAATTAAAACAAAAGTTCCTCAGTCATTAGGTGGAACAAAACTGAAGTGTAGGAGGGTGACATGTACTGGGGAGACGAGAGGTCTTATGGCTACAATCATTGTGTGATGCAGCTAATCCATTCCTCCTTCATCAAACCAGCCATTGGTCACAATGGATTTAATTTTAAATGGGACATAAAGTGTTAGAAAGCAATTGTCTGTAAAACTAAAATGCCAATCATTTAAATAATTTTACATGCACATTACTGATGCTCCTGGTGCCACAATTAAAGTAACAGATCAAGCACTTACATCTAACCCTGGCTCTCCTGGCTTCCCCTAGAGTTGCAGAAATAGAAAAGAAGGTGCCATGTTAATTGTCTGGTCTGTTGTCTGTAGACTGACGACTTACTTGGAAAAATACTGTCCCAAGTACAGTCCGCATCTTTGTATAACCTAAGGCATACACCTTGCAGGTGTGGGTTCAATTGCAGGATTGAGTATTATAATATACCAAGCTAACAAGTGCTGGAGAGAATTAGAAGAAAAGGTTCTTTTCCCCTCCAGTAGGCAAATGATTTCTCAGTGTCACTGGCATGTCTCCTTAGGAGCAAATGCATTTTACCTAAAAACCTGGATAAAGTAGATAAACCAAGCAGGAGAGCTTAGAGTCCACTGCGATTGTGAGTGATCAGCCAGAATTATACCTGATGCAACTCTATTGACCTCCAACTCATAGGGAGTGACTGAAAACATTGAGGTTGCTTGGATCTGCTGCTCCTGAAACATAGACCCCTTGTACTGTGCTAGAGGACAGCTACTCCGTCATTCATACCATAGCACCTGTGATCCAGAGGAGTCCAGTCCAGACTGTATCCTGGGCTGGATGGGGGGCATGCACCCTCTTAACCAGCTAGTTCAAATCACAATATACTTTCATCTCCCCTTTCCCCTGGAATGATTACCTTCTCTCCTTTGGTACCTGGTAAACCAATAAGTCCAGGAGAACCGGGAGGACCCTGGAAAGAAAAGCAACCTATGAGAAGGACTTGGAAAAGCACTCCTGAAAGATTGCTTGTAGCACAAAGGCTAGAATTTAGGAGGTATCAGGCATAAAAAAAACTAGTCTACTTACAGGTGGCCCAACATCACCATTTGCTCCTTTCTCACCACTGTCTCCCTTTTCTCCCTTTGTGCCATCTAAACCCTGAATGAAAAAGATAATGAGGTTCACTGAGGGCACAGTACTGGACAGTGTCTGCTGTCATACCACTTGACCAAAACTGCCACTAAAGGAAACAGAAATTGTGCCCTGTTGCATGACTGAGGGCAGGTCCATGTCCAACAGAAAGTTACTGGCATGGTCCATGCGCAGGATCACAGTACTTAGACCAGTAAGAGGCCAACAAGCACATCAATCCTATCTTCATGTAAACACAGGAGAGAGCACCGTATGTCACGACAGGTGTTTATTCCCCTCCCTTCATTGAAGGACTCTGCGTTTCGCTCTCAGATGAGAAATATATGCAAGTAAAGGCATAAACACAGAAGCTGTGAGATTGGGCGTAGCACTATGTTGTTGCATGCAAGCAGAGTGACAAAGAAGCCTCAAGTTCATAAATCCATTTGGAGGAAGTCCTCCTCATACAACGTCTGCCTGATTTTCAACACTACTGAGTGCCTACAACTCCCAACAGCAGTCAGAGGATGCTTTCGGTGACCAGCACCCTTATTGGCCCTCTGATCAGAGCCCCTTGTGCTCTCTCTAAATAATGCCCTGGCAGCCTGGAAGTATTGTGTGCCAAACATATAATGCACTGACTCACCTTAGGCCCCTGGATTCCTGGAGGACCCTGTAGGAAAGAGAACAGGGTGTTTGAAAACCAGGTTTCTAAGTCATTTAGATATCAATGAAGATCTGTTCCCAAATCTTTTGTTTGTTAGCTTGCTTGGGTAGTTGGTTGTTTTTGTTAACACCATGAGTCTGTCTGGGATGATTATTTCTGTACCTAATCTCAAACATTTCTTGTCAAGGACTCTGTTTTTTGGCCTCAACAAGGATCAGGCCCTTCGTGGCTCCCCTGCCATCTGCCCCTGGCATGCCAACATCTTACAAGTTGAAGTTGTGGGTGTTTTTGGCACTGCTCAAAAAAGTTGCCGACCCCTGTTCTAAAGGATCCAAGAAATCATCCTGTAGTTAGTTTGGAAGCACCTTACAGCCCATTTGTCTCTAGCCACTCAGACTGTGCGTGCATGGCAAACTGAAGTGCAAAGAAGAGACCTAACTCCTATAACACATTTATCGTGTTTATGAAACCTCAGTTCTTGTCTACTATATGTGCTACTTTGTCATAGTCTTACCATAGGGCCCGGCAATCCAGGAGGTCCTGGCTCAGGTATGATCTGCATAAAGAAATACTATTATACAATGAAGTGACTAGATACGCTAGATAGGCTTATCTGTATTGTAAATATGCCAAAGGAAACAAACAGTTTAAAAATGGAAAATTAACATGGCACTGAATCAGTGTCACATGATGCAATGTTCTGCCCTGTTAATCAGCAAAGATGGCCGTAACAACTTTAAACTAATAACACTCTTTTCTGTAGAGCAAGTTAACAAACTCATTACATATTCATCAAGGGCTTGCCTAGCTTTAGACATTAAACAACCCAAGAAAATATTCAAATTCAGCGCATTTGCTAGGCACAAAACTGAAGCAAGAGAACTTTTCTAACTTTCTTAGAAACACTGTCTGTCCCTCCTGCTCGGTTCTGAATGCAGATCATCTCTGTTCTCTTGTCACTCATACAAACCTTTAAGTAAAACTATCAGTATAATTTCCTTAAAAATGGTAAAGCAAACAAAAAGATTTGAAAAATCTTATAGGGCTGCAATATTCACAAAAACTCTTTTCAGAACAGGATATAATAAACTATTTCTAGTTGAATCATAGAAATTTAGGGTTGGAAGGGACGTCAAGAGGTCATCTAGTCCAACCCCCTAGACGGTCAAGGCAGAACCAACCCCAACTACATCACCCCAGCCAAAGCTTTGTCTAGCCAGGTCTTAAAAACCTCCAAGGATGGAGAGTCCACCACCTCTCTGGGTAGGCTGTTCCAGTGCTTCACCACCCTCCTAGTAAGAAAATTCTTGATTGACACAAGTTCTAAAACAAGCAAATGTCTAACTTTTTGCCTTATAAAAGATGTGCCACAAGACTTTACTTTGCAATGAAAATGTGCATCAGTTTTAGTGAAAAGCACATCTGGAATTCAAATGCCTTTTCTGCTCATTTACCCTACAGGTATTCATACTGAAGATTTAACTCCAGTTATTGCACATGCTGATTTCTTATGATATTGACCTCACCACGACCGAGGGCCTCATAGCCATAGTAAACTAATATCTTACGTGATTATTCTGCAAGCATGGGGATCCAGTTTCTCCTTTTTCTCCTTTTGGTCCATCAATTCCCTAAACGGTAAGAATAATCATAATCTAGATCTCTCGATATGCTGATAGAGAAAAATACATTTCCCTTCCCTTATCCTGAAGTCTTATTTCAAGTAATTCTCATTTGCTTCAGCAAGGCTGTTGCTTGTGAGCAAGTATGAAAGTGTCTTCCCTCCCCTACCCAATTTTTTAAGCATAGCTCTGTATTGGGAAAGCCACTGTTACAGTTGTCTTGCTGAGGGTTGGGGGTGGAACAGACCAAGATTCAGATCTGATTCTGCGCATTGTTCATGCCTGTCTGCCCAAAGCTGCATTGATTTCCAAGTACCTTGCACCATTGCCCACTTATATTCATGGTTCCCATTCAGCAAAGCAACTAAGCGCAGCTTTATTCTATGTATGGGCCTAAATCTCAGTGACTTAACTGGGAATTAAAGACCCACATAAATGCTTTGCAAGGGTCTATACAAACTATGTTATTTGAGAACCTGCTTCCACTTAGAACTGTTAAATGTGACACATTACTGCTTCATAAATCAATGCAATTCTGCCCCCCTCTTGAATGAGTTTTCGTCGTATTTACCAAGATCTAGACTCTTTTTTACAGTTGGGCAGAGGCATAGCCCAAACTTGTACAATAATAGTTGTATCCAACTTGCATGATCACAGCATTACTGTTGAGGAAGAGATGTGAGGGCAGCTTTTAGCCCATTAACATTCAAATACAACTCAGTCCCCATACTCCTTGCTAGAGATGTGCCCCTTTTTATTCAGACAATTATCCTTGCTTTCTGTCAGCAGATCACTTACTGCGTTTAATAGCAGCTTTAGGTGGGCAATGCCATTTGCAAAGATTTTCAATGACTCATGGTGAGTTTTACCATACCAAGGCAGTAATAGTATGCTAACAGTAAATAGTAAATAGTACTGCTAATGGGGAAATGAAGAGCTTAGGAGTCCTCCCAGTTAAACAGCAACATTGTTTTGATAGGGGCATCGCAAACTAATAAAATGCCAAGACACGTAACATCTTGGGAAACCAAATAGGCTAAAGCAATAAGCAGCTTATGCACATTGGCAGAGACACGTACCGGTGGACCAGAGAGGCCCATTTCTCCTATTTCTCCTTTTTGTCCCATTGCCCCAGGGGTTCCTGTGTCTCCTTTAGATCCTTTAGGACCCTACAGTGTACAACAGAGCTTCATTAGAAGAGAGCTACATATATTTTTAAAAGAACAACAGGCACATCTGCCTTTTAAATTCTTTATATTCTTCACAACACAGGAAGCATGCTTTAACATTAAACAGTGGAAATACTGATTTTTGTTGTGAAGACATCAATTTAAGATTTTAAACGTTTATTAAAGAATTACAGACCATCTCAAATTACTTCTAAAATAAACCATTTAAATCCACAATCTTAGATGCAAGCAATTTCTTATAAACTGAAGGAGTCTCAGCAAAGGAAAATGAATTCAGAGGAAAACAGATGAACAAGCTGATGCTATAGAACACAGACTGTTTTCTTTGCCTGCTCAGATTGAAAGCTGCACTTATCCATGGCCAATGGAAAGACCTTTCAGCTACACCACTGCCTGCCACAACATAGTCATAGTTTCATAGTTGGTAGGGTCAGAAGGGACCCAAGCAGATCATCAAGTCTGACCCCCTGCCAGGGCAGGAAAGAGTGATTGTCTAGCCTTGTCTTAAAGATCCCCAGGGTAGGAGCCAGCACCACTTCTCTTGGAAGTTGGTTCCAGATCCTAGTCACCCTGACCGTGAAGTAGTGCCTCCTGATATCTAGTCTGAATTTACCCTCTGCCAGCTTGTGACCGTTATTTCTAGTCACTCCTGGTAGTTC